GTGGCTGTCCGAGACCGGCCAGGTTGGATGCAACACGTGGGCCGACATTAACAAAATAAGCATTCATCTCGTCCGGGGAGGCGACAGTGAGATTGTGAGCACCGCTCTCCCCCCCCCCCCCCCCTCCCTAACAGCGGGCGAATAATGCGTATGGTGGTTGACTGCACGGAAATATGAAACCTCTTTTCGAATAGATGGAGGCCCGAAGACTCGAGGGGTCCGAAAAGGGCCCGCCGAGGCCAACGATCAGTGACCCGATTGGAGAGCCTAAGGGCACTAGGGGCCGGACGGAGTCGTCATCATGGGCCTTGACCTGCGCGGACAAGCCCTCAGATGACAGCCAGAGGGTCTTTTGCACCGTTCGAGGACCCATTAAGTCGATATGATTCTACATGTTGGTCAGGCACCACCAGTACCGTGCCGTCGGTTCCGTGTCGGTATTGGCCTAAGGGACCACTGCCCAATTAGTCACAAAACCGGGCCAGCGATTTACACTGGTTGGGCCCTTGTATCTGTCAGAAGCCACAGCGCCCAACAGAGAGTCCAGTGCTCACAAGGGGCCCCGAACGGACCAAGGGCAATGTTCGATGAGGCCCGAAGAGGGGTCTGGGCGGCCTAACTGAGCCGACTATCAAAGGTCCGGTTGGAGGGCGTAAGGGCCCTAAGGACTGGCTGAAACAAACTGAAACAGGTCATATAAAGAATCTCGGCCCGTAGGGTCGTGACCTAAAATATCAGTTAGAGGTCCCCTTGTACCGTTTGAGAATCCCTTGAGACAATTCGGGTGTCTCAGTCGGCCGCAGCCCACGAACACTGAACAGTTGGCTCCCTGTCAATTTAGACCACGGCGTCCACTCTCCAAGCCCGAGCAAGGCCGTGGGCTATTGTTTGCATCGGTCTGTGTCTCTGAAACTGTATTTGGGTCCCTGTGTCCGTCAGGGGTGCACAGTGCTTGACAAAGGGTCATGTGTTGGCTAGTGGCCCCTAATCGGTCACGGGCTTTGTTTGAGGAGGTCCGAAGAGGGGCCGAAAGGGGCTTAGGACCCAAAATCAACAGTCCAATTGGACTTGAGCCCGGCCCTCCATCTGTACTCCTATGACCAGAAATGTCACTCAGAGAACTTCTGTTGGGGCCCTCTTATTGGTCTTCTCTATCCCTATTATAAAGAGCTTCGACACGAAGCCAAACAGTCGGCTCCGTGTTCGCCTGAGCCCTTGACACCCATGTACCAACCACGAGCGAAGCCGAGGCTCGCGATTTGCAATGTTCGGGGTCCTTGTCACAATGAGGGGCTCCTTTGTCGGTCAAGGGGAACAGGGCCTAACAGGGATCCTGTGGCGGCAAGTGGCCCCGAGTCGGAGCGGGGTTTGAGGAGGCCCGAAGAGGGGCCGAAGGGTCTCTCTATACCAAAGATCAAGGGCTCGATTGAAAGGCTGAAGGTCCCAAAGGCTGGCTGAGCGGCCCAAAGGGCCGACTGTAGGTCACATTAGTGGCCCCCTCCCGTGGGACTGTGATTTCGAATGTCAGTTAGAGGGCCTCTGCACCACGGGTGTCGATTTGTATTCTTTTGTGAGACCCTGGCCCTTCAATGTTGAGGTGCCCCGCCCCCCCCCCCCCCTGTCATGTTAGTTTGGCCCCAATGTTTTCAGCTGAAATATTACCAAAAAGGTGGGTAAAAGATGAGCGTATCACAAATACTATCTTTCTTGATCTTTCTGCCTAGTGGCGTCTCGGTTTGTGCGGGTAAAGTGAAAAGCTCTGGAATATGGGGATGACCTAAGTCCTTCATGGCTAACCTTGTCCCCGTCCCCCACAACCAAAATGCGTGCCGCATCCAATGACCGCCATAGAAGAGCGCCATCGATGCCCTAAGGTGGCCTCTAAAAGGGCGCCTTTAAGTGCCGATCAGAAGAGATGCGTGAGTCCAGTGCCTGCTGTCTGGATCTAACCCTGCATGACTTCCATACTGCTTAAATTAAAGACATAAATTATACAAAGATTAAAACATATACTGTGTTTAATCGAACTAACGTGGGCTAAATCCCGTGGGAAAAATGGGGGGGGGGGGGGAATGTCGGGTCTTCGGTTCGGTTGGGTTCGGTTCCCCACTAATTTGCAGAAATTGTCACCCCGAGTGATTGGGAACCCCTGAGACAGAGCGTTCCTTTGTTTCGGCCAGAGATTACCAACACCGAATCGTCGGCACCGTGTCAGTCTGAGCTCCGGTCATTTCCCGAGCAGGGACGCGGCCGGGCCCGAGATTTACACTGGTTGGGGTCCCTGCTATACTACGGGGCCTGTATGTACCTGTATCGTTGAGAGGCCCACAATGCCTAACAGGGTATTCTGTGTCAACAAAGGTCCTCACGTCGGGCAGCGGAAGATTTATTCATCAGAGGCGAGGACGGGACCCCGAATGATAGAGGGTCTCTTGCGTTGGTCGGTGCTCTCTGACAATGAAAGGAAGCACGAGAACTCATGATGGCTGTTTACAATGAGGCAATGGAAGGATCCTATGCCAGTTAGGGCCCCTAGTACTGAACGGTGGGCCCTCCAACACAATTCCAACACGTGCCCGCTAAACCAAATTGAGTCTATGTGCCAGTTATTGGACCATCTGCGGCGATCATGGATGTTATTGTGTCAATGAGGGTTCTTCGATCTGGGCTCCAATAAGCGCGTCAGAAGGCTCCCTGCATCAGGGAGACGAACAGCGTGAAATGATGCATCCCTCTAAGGAACATCAGATTCTGGCATTAATTCACGGCGCTGTAAAGGCCAATCCGTTCTCACCATCAGTCTAAAAATTGCACAGGTGAAATACCCGCCTGAAGTACCTTCTAAAGGCACGATATGATGTTGTTCAAACGTACTTCTTTCAAATGCGTTATCATTTTCGTCCACCTTTCGTCAAACGTGCATGCTCAAAACTACGTTACGTAATTTGTATCACTAATGACTTTTGACTGAAAATTGAACATTTCAGCCCGGTGACCCCTGACCTCATGGCATGGCGGAGGGGCGTGTTTCGTCGCGAGGTGAGATCACCGGCTTTTCGCGAGCTGGACCGGAGGGTGAGGTCGGCGATCAGGCGATGACTGCCGGGCGGAAATTGAGGAGAGGCTGCGTGATCAGGGGAGCAGTTCTCTGTAACCGCATTATCCGCCCGCTGTTAGGGAGGGGGGAGGGGGGAGCGGTGCTCACAATCTCACTGTCGCCTCCCCGGACGAGATGAATGCTTATTTTGTTAATGTCGGCCCACGTGTTGCACCCAACCTGACCGGTCTTGGACAGCCACCTGACGTCCCACGTCACCCGCCCAGGGTGGGGCTTTTGGTTTCCGGGTGATTGGCACGACCCTGGGCGGGCTGCACGAGGTCATGCCCTCCATGACGCGTTCTGTGGGGTGTGGACGTGATGATGTTTGTATTTGTACTCTGCTCCTCTATTATATATATATATATATATATATATATATATATATATATATATATATATATCAAACATGGATGAGGCCATCTTTCACTCGTGCGCCTCTTGGATCTCAGTAAATGTTTTGATGTCCTTCCTCTTCCTCAACTACTTTCCAAGCTGCATGTCTGTGACATTGACACCGCTTGGTTCTTCCCCCATCTTTCTGGTCATTTCTAGTCAGTCTGCATCCTTCTTCTTTTGGTGACAGAAAGGTCTCCTAGCCCCTCCCCAACATCATAGGAGTCTTCCAGGGATTAGCTCTTGGTCCTCTTTTATTTATAATCTTCGCCAACGACCTCAGCCTGCACGCGCCAGACGCCCATATGATCCAGTACGATGACCTTACTCGAACCCTTACATCCGATGTTAAGCGCAACCTTCCTTCCCCTTATCGAATTAGGCCGTGAAAAACTTGGGCGTGCCATTTGACCATCACTTGAATTGGGATGCATACGTCACTGATGTAGTTTGAAAAAATGCATCGGCAGCCTGATCGATCTCCGCCGCCTGAAACGTTTTCTCCTACATCAGTCTCACGCAGCAATCTTGACCTGCACGATCGTGCTGCTGACCACCGTGCAGGATCTAGTCATCTCGCACGTGAGATGCTGTATTTCAGTTTATGGCCAGGGGTCAGCTGTTACTAGGCCAGACTTTTGAAAGCAGTTAAGTTCCGTTCCAGTGTAGTTACTGGCCTCAGAAAGTATGACGTTTCTTGCACGCGGGATGACCTGCACTTTGCAATGCCTCGCCAAATGTGTGAATTGCGAACTATTATCGCTGTGTTCAAAGCCCATAAGCAATGCGAACCTGCGGATCTTGCCCGTTTGTTTCAAGCACACCTCAACGCACGAACCAGTGACCGATCCACCCGCACGACCAGAACCTGCGCCCCCGGCGGTGCGCACGGCGACAGGACAGCGGTCCTTCGCGTGCCGAGTGACTTCTCTCATGTACGAGTTGCCGTTGGGTGTTAAACAACTGCATTCAACATGTTTGAAGCGCAGAGGCAAGTCATTTTTTGTGCGATAAGGTTGTCTTGTACCGTTAATGCATGCAAACGGGCTGTACCCAACGATTTTTTTTGGCGACTTCTATCAGCGGGTAGTCCTTTGTCAACCCTGTGCTTCCCATTGTCAAGGCACTGGCTGCGCACCTGCCCTCCCCTCCACACGGGGAATGCAACCATGCATGATGTTGTTTCAGTCCATCGCAATTCATCACACCGTTTTTCTATCTCCAGATATGCGCCCTACCTGGAATTTTGATTCCTCAGAGTTTTAAAAAAAGACCAACTATATAGCACTATTTATGCATACTGGATGCCTTCGGATTTAGTAGCATTTATCACTATGCGTGTTGGTAGCATTCTGGCAGCACTGCAGGTAAATCCCGGCTAGCCAGAACTCTCAGGTTTATCTTGAGGTATTTTGTTAATAAAAGTTATCCGACTGGGATACAAAAATACGCGCTCCTGCAACCGCATCGTCAGAGGAGGGCACTAGGTGCAGTTGATTTCAGGGATTCCATGGCCGTTGTCTAGCAAGGCTCTGGTTGTTTAGAACAAGGGTAGCGAATAGCCGAGTGAATATACAGGTTATGCAGCTGAAACAATCGAAACACCAGGACAAATCAACAATGATGGCTCATTGATGCGCTAGGTACTGTACCTATAAGCGACGGAAGGGTGTTCGTCTGTTAGTAGTGAGTGATATTGTCGATGGGTCTGGAACTCGCTCGTAAAAATTTGCGTCCCATTCTGTCGCAAATCGTGGTAGCCTCACCGCTGTGGTAAATTCTGACTGCAATCCTAGGTCTGCACAACTGTAATAAACAAAGTTGGTGGGTCTTCCAGTTGACAGTGTTAGGCATAAATCACCATAATCACTTATGAGTGATAACATTAAAATTGCATATGTCTGGTGAGAGTTTAAGTGCAGTGGCTGCTCTCTTATCCAAAAGTTGCAATGGCCATGGCAATGGCTATTTGTGATGCAGGAACAGTGATGTCCGTCAGTTTATTTTTACAAATCCAGCTCAAGTTTCCATGTCAAGAATGTTCTGTCAACATTTCTATGCTGATATATTTTTACATTTTGAAAATGTACTCATGGCTGTGTTAACTGTTAATCATCAAGACATGCATCACAGGCTGATCACAAATTATGTGGTGTTTGTCAAACCCTGAGATATCATTTCTCAAGGATATTTTGTAATATTTGACTCATTTGATCTGTATCACCCTGAGATCACATTCATTTCATTTTATCATTACATGAAATCCTCCATAGTTTGGACATAATTTTCATGTACAGCTACTAAGATTCTAAATCTTACTAATGTTCTTTAAATTATTCCCCAAGCAGTTGTCATGTGATTATTGGCTGTACCACATGTGAGGCATTCTACAGTTTAATAGTGGTGACCACATGAATGCAGAAGAATATCATGTGCTCATATATATGTAGGCACTATTGTATAGCATGGATGCATGTGAAATGCTACTACATTTTGTTTTAAAGTTGATAATAAGGATATGGTTAACAGTGATACACAGAAATACACATTTTCACTTCCTTCATGAGATCCTGTGCATCTAGCTACCAGACCATGGCTCTCCTTTTTTAATGGCTTATTTTCACCTTCTATTGCAATATTTCTCCAGACAAAAATTCCTTTTGACTATTGGTGCAAAATAAAAGTGCATTTGAATGTCATATAATTGTTGTCAGGCTGAATTTTTCTGCACCTGCACAGCCTATAGCAAGTCAATTTTGGAACAATAGGTTCAGTGACAGCTATCTTTTTGCAGATTGCTTTTTCACCTATGGTTGCTGCTGTTGCTCATCATGAACTCATCAGACAGGCCTGAGCAAGCAGAGACACTGGGCAATACAAGTGCTACTGCCTTGGAGCAGTCTACCACCTCCAGACAAGGTCTGTACCCCTACTTACTGCATGCTCACAACATGGTGTGTACTGAAACATGTTAGTATGCATTTCTTTCAACATATGTCAGCTGTGGGCAATAGGAAATGCTCCTTGGGGTTTGTGATGCCAAAACTGTATGTAGTCTTGAGATGGAGTCAAGGAAATATGCCATTTTTTTCTTTTGGAGCCCACAATTTTGTTAGTTGTCAAATTTAGGACTTGGCAGTGGCCATGAAGACTGTTGTATGGCTGAAATACTGTGATTGCTTGTTACAGATACATGAAGTGGTGATGCCATTTGTCTAATTTAAATATTGTGCAGTAAGGCAGCCATTGACTGACTTATTCAGCTATCAAATAGTCATATCAGAATATTAGGAACATGGCTGATGACATGTCTGGAAAGCAGTGTTGCAGCAGATGGTTGTTGGATTTCCTTATGACTTTTTAAGCTTGTCTTTGCATCTGTTCTAGCTGCTTAGGCTCCACTTTAAAGAGGCTGATATCATCAGCATTTATATTATGCCATCACATGAACATTACAGTTTGCTAGCATTTTCTTCAGTGTAAGATGTAGTGGTATGTGGTGTGAGCCATAGATTGTTGTTTTCTGGTGCTCAAAAGGCTCTTGCTTTGGTGTACTCTATTTCGACTTGTATATTTTACTTGCATCCTAATGGCTGCCAATCTGTCAGTAGGCATGGAAACCTTCATGCCAATGACTACCAAAAGTATGCTTGGATTCAAAAGTTAATGTTATGTGCTATGTTAATGGAATACCATGGTATTGATGCCCACTGGCAAATCAAGTTCAGACATTGAAAATGTTTTTGTCAGGCAGCCTTTATGAATGGCTTTTCTTCAGAATATTCACAGTATGTTTCAGGAAAGTTGCTGATGTGCGAGGATATGATGCTGTTGTAGAGAGGGCCAGAACATTGTATTCCAGTTTATGATTGCTCTGAAAGTTTGAAGGTCATTTAAAGAGCAAACCACATTCGCTAGATCTAGCGGTTGTTTTTGCCTTGCCAGATGACTGTGGAGACACTCCAGGCAGCAACAAGAGGACACTCCGCAACTCGATCATGAGAAAGATAGCCAGGCTGGAAGACCAGAGGTACAGTATTCACATTGTTTGTCAGTGATGGCCATGAGCAGAGGAGAAGGATGACCAGCTTTCCTAAATATGTGGTTTGCTTGACTACATGTTGGCAGCTGATGAATGAAGCTGTTGGGTTGATTGGCCTTTGTTGATCTAACGCCTGCAGGTGGCCGCGGTGGGTGACCAGTTTTAACTGCATTGAAAAATGACTTTGGCTTGGAAACTAGGTGAAAACGTCACTGTCTGAATGGCTGTTTCTCCTGGCAGCTGCCCTCGCAGAAGGACGTTATAAAACGTGTCATGCGATGCTGCGGGCTGTCATTGAGTTTGACCACCTGCTGGTGCGTCTAGCGTGTTTGTTAGCTTATAAGGCGTGCGGCTGTGAGCCGGGCTCTGCTGATCCGACCTCAGAGCCTCCGTCACCGCCGTCTGGACATCGCCCATTGTCAAACAAGCGTCTCTCTCTGCCGAACGGACATGGCAGGTGCCTGGTGTTCAGTTCAATTCAGTTCAGTTCCTTATATTAACGAATTATTCCAACGAGTGGTGTACTGTTTGATTCGATGCAATAACAACAGTAGTATGAATGGAATATTAAAACATGACAACAACGTGACCACATTTGCACGTTATCAACCGTCCGTTCGTTCACACAACCTCGTCAAAAACAACATGATTCGAGAGAGATGATTTGAACAAAACGATTTTGATATTTGAAAAATCAAACACGCCCGGTACGGTGTGGTGGGTGGAGCCGCGGCCGGTGGTCGCGTGCCGGGCGCGCCGCCGGCTGACCGACGTCTGGTGACGCGGCGTTCCGGCCCTGCCCGCAGGAGGGCGATGGCCGGAACAGCGCTCTCCGAGGACGAGGAGAAGCGCTGGCTCTACGAGCAGATGGCGGCTCTGCAGCAGAAGATCCGCCGCCTCGAATCCGGCCAGGTGAGCTGGCCGCGGCCTGGCTTCGGCTGTGTCGCCCGGCCTGGGCCGGAGAGCGCTATCACACGATTGTCGTCCGGCGTCTCTCGGACTGGGCTGGTCGGCACGCACGTTCCTGCCGTGCTCAAACTCCTGGCCGGCAGTCTGGGAGTGAGTACTGGGCGGCTGGCTGTGCCCACACCCTCACCCTTCAGAGAGTCCGTGACTCTGACCCCGGCCCCCTCTGACAGGACGGCGGTGCCAGCGACAATCAGGCCCTGCCCGCGTCCGAGGCGGCTACCAAGACCGGGCTGGAGCAGATCGATCGAGAAATAGTGCGACTTCGTCAGCAGGTGGACGCCATGGTGAGTAGCCGTCAGAAACGTAAACGTTGCCATTGGATGCATCAGGTTTTTATATGCTGTTCCGGCGTAAGTGTTTAACCAATAAGTACGGTCCGCCTCTTCTCATTTCACAGTATGGTGATATCGGTTTTAAGTTTCGTGTGTGCAGTTGTGTGGACATGTTGGTCTTTTTTCGTTGTTTGAGCCTTTATTTGAGCGATGTGCCTGACTGGATGAGCTGTCCTTGGTCCGCATGCCGATGCTTAGCTCGCTGTTTAGCTGCTACTGACTACTCTGTATGGTAGGGCTACGAGGCTGTGTTTGTTGCCATTGAATTGGGTGTGCTATCGAGCTGTACTGTGTGTATTAGCTTAGACACCGCTGTGGAGTGCCATCTGTGGCTGCTGAGTGTAGGGCATCACCGCTGAGTGCCATCTGTGGCTGCTGAGTATAGGGCATCATCGCTGAGTGCCATCTGTGGCTGCTGAGTGTAGGGCATCACTGCTGAGTGCCATCTGTGACTGCTGAGTGTAGGGCATTACCACTGAGTGCCACCTGTGGCTGCTGAGTGTAGGGCATTACCGCTGAGTGCCATCTGTGGCTGCTGAGTGTAGGGCATGACTGCTGAGTGCCATCTGTGGCTGCTGAGTGTAGGGCATTACCGCTGAGTGCCATCTGCGGCTGCTGAGTGTAGGCCATCACCGCTGAGTGCCTTCTGTGGCTGCTGAGTGCCATGTGCTGCTGCTGAATGTCATCAGCGGCTGCTGGGTGTTGCGTACCGCTCTTGAGCGTCATCTTCGGCTTCCGACAGTCGCTGTCGTCGTCCTCGGATGAGCAGAGCTCTGGTAGCGGTGACGGCGCCCCCCGTCTGTACCGCGCGGCGGGCCCTGGCCAGCCGGCCGGCGCTGTCTGGACCAGTGACCCGCCGGACTCCAGAACCTCCTCCCAGTCGAGCCCGGCTCAGGTAACAGCTGTTCGGCACCGGAGGTGGCGCTGGAAAACCAGCAATACAGATGAAAGGGCAGAGGTGGCAATATGTTGGGATGTCGAAAGAACGTGCGGATGGGTCGCTGCCGTACCTAGATGCCGTCGATGTCAGCTCTAGTTTGGTGTGGAAATGCAAGCGTCGCTTTCCGATGCGTCGCTGTCGGGCGCCGGGCCCGGGTCCCCGCCGTGTGCGGCGTCAGGCCTTCATCATCGAGCCGTGGCCGGGGTCGGGAGGAAGGGAGGGAGGCGTCCCGCTGGCGCTGACGCCGGCTCCTGGGCCAGCAGCTGGCGGCCAGCGGCGGCGGCCGGGCCGAGCTGGTGCTCTCGCTGCTGCAGCTGCTGCGCTCGGCCGACCACCAGCTGGTCAGCAGCACGCTGCTGACCATGACGTCCAGCACGGAGAGCTGCGCGGCGCTGCGGCGCGCCGGCTGCCTGCCGGCCCTGGATCAGCTGATCCACTGCCCGCAGTCGGCCGCCGGCGCTGGCGCCCGCCGGCCACACAGACAGGTGGGAACACAAGACACTGACACCCGCGGTGATCACGTCTGTTAATGACGAGCGTGCTGGTGACTAATAGTGACATTGGATGCGTGTTAAACAAGTGATGTTTTAAAGGACTGATGCTCCTGAATTTTCTGTGGCCATTTAAGCGTCAAGTTGGCCTACTCGTATGATACGTGTTGGCTCTCCGTACTGCTGCGCTTCAGTGCACAGCTCCAAATGTGTTGTCATGCCAACGCAGCTCCGCGCTAGACAAGCTTTATCTCGGCGCCGTGGACACTGCAGAAGCCGGTCGCTCGTGTCCGCCGATCAGAGAGCCGGTGGTGCCGAGCCGCCACCCCCCACCCCCGCCCCTGACCGTGCTGCCGCCGTCGCCAGGTGCGCGCCGCAGCCGCGCGGGCGCTGCACAACCTGGTGCGCGCGCAGCCGGACGGCCGCCGCGCGCGCCGCGAGGCCCGCCTGCTGCGCCTGCTGGAGCAGCTGCGCGACTTCACCGAGAGCCTGTGGCAGCGCGCCGACGAACAGGACCAGCCGGTGCTGCTGGACGGTATGTGCCCGGTGGGACGTCCTGCGGCATGGCACGCGCTCGGTGGGACGTCCTGCGTCATGGCACGTGCCCGGTTGGATGTCCCGTGTGATGGCACACGCTCGGTAGGACGTCCTGCGTCATGGCACGCGCTTGGTGGGACGTTCTGTGTGGTGACACGCGCTCGGTAGGACGTCCTGCGTGATGGCACGCGCTCGGTGGGACGTCCTGTGTGATGGCACGCGCTCGGTGGGACGTTCAGTGTGATGGTACGCGCTCGGTGGGACGTCCTGCGTGATGGCACGCGCTCGGTGGGACGTTCAGTGTGATGGTATGTGCTCGATGGGACGTCTCGTGTGATGGTACGTGCTCGGTGGGACGTCCTGCGTGATGGCACGCGCTCGGTGGGACGTTCAGTGTGATGGTATGTGCTCGATGGGACGTCTTGCGTGATGATGCGTGCTGGACCGGGGACCTCCAGAAGCAGTAGCACTGTGCAGATAGAGCGATTGTGATGAATACTCTATATCAAATATCAGTGTTGCGCGGCACGGCACGGACGGCTGCCTCCCTGGCCGGCAGACTCGCTGCATCAGCACCCAGTGGCGGCGGTGGTGGAGTTGGTCAAGCTGTCGTTCGACGAGCAGCAGCGGAGCGCGCTCTGCCAGCTGGGCGGCCTCTACAGTCTGGCCGAGCTGGTGCAGGCCGAGCACGAGACGCACGGCCCGGCCACCGGCCACCCGGCCTGCAACACCACCCGCAGGTGAGCCGCCGGCCCCGGGCCTCACACTCACCCGGCCTGCGGCACCACCCGCAGGTCAGCCGCCGGCCCCGGGCCACACACTCACCCGGCCGGCGGCACCACCCGCAGGTCAGCCGCCGGCCCCGGGCCACACACTCACCCGGCCTGCGGCACCACCCGTGGGTCAGCCGCCAGCCCCGGGCCACACACTCACCCGGCCTGCGGCACCACCCGCAGGTCAGCCGCCGGCCCCGGGCCACACACACTCACCCGGCCTGCAGCACCACCTGCGGGTCAGCCGCCAGCCCCGGGCCTGACACTCACCCGGCCGGCGGCACCACCCGCAGGTCAGCCGCCAGCCCCGGGCCTGACACTCACCCGGCCGGCGGCACCACCCGCAGGTCAGCCGCCAGCCCCGGGCCTGACACTCACCCGGCCGGCGGCACCACCGGCAGGTCAGCCCCCGGCCCCGGGCCACACACCCGGCTCAGGCTTGACAGTGTCCACGGGTGGGGATAACACGCGCAGGTCAGGCGCCGGCTCAGCAATGGCGGGCCAATTGTGGGCTGTGCTCGACACTGCGACGAGTGTAAGTGGTGGGGGCAAGGGCGGCCTGAGGCAACCCCGCGGCCCAGGCTCCTGGGGCGTTGTATTGTGCTGTGTTGGCCTGTGTGAATGCGTGCGGACGTGTAAACTGTGTGTGAGCTTTAGCGCTGTGTCGTGGCATGGACGATCACTGGGGCCGCGCGTCCGCTGGGTCACGGCCGGCGGGCGCCGCGTCTGACGACCGGCCGGCGGGCACCGCGTCTGACAACTGACCAGCGGGCGCCGCGTCTGACGACCGGCCGGCGGGCACCGCGTCTGACGACCACGACCGGCCGGCGGGCGCCGCGTCTGACGACTGGCCGGCGGGCGCCGCGTCCGACGACTGGCCGGCGGGCGCCGCGTCTGACGACCGGTCGGCGGGCGCCGCTTCTGACGACCGGCCGGCGGGCGCCGCGTCTGACGACTGGCCGGCGGGCGCCGTGTCTGACGACTGGCCGGCGGGCGGCAGGTTCGCCAGCATGGCGCTCACCAACCTGACGTTCGGCGACGGCACGAGCAAGGCGTTGCTGTGCGGCCAGCGCGCCTTCATGCGCGCTCTCGTCACGCAGCTTCACTCACCCAGCGAGGAGCTTGTGCAGGTGAGACACTCCCTGCCGCGTCCGTGTCGCCGTGTCGCCGTGTCCCCGACCGTGCGGCCGTGTCCCTGATCGTGCGACCGTATCCCCGACCGTGCGGCCATGTCCCCGACCATGCAGCCGTGTCTGACCGTGCAGCCGTGTCCCTGACCGTGCAGCCGTGTCCCTGGCCATGCGACCGTGTCCCTGACCGTGCAGCCGTGTCCCTGACCGTGCAGCCGTGTCCCTGGCCGTGCAGCCGTGTCCCCGACAGTGCCGCCATGTCCCAGACCGTGAGACCGTGTCCCCGACCGTGCAGCTGTGCCCCTGACCGTGCGACCGTGTCTCCGACCTTGCTGCCGTGTCCCTGACCGTGCCGCCGTGTCCCCGACCGCGCAGCCGTGTCCCTGATCGTGCAGCCGTGTCCCTGACCGTGAAGCCGTGTCCCCGACCGTGCCGCCGTGTCCCCGACCGTGCAGCCGTGTCTCTGATCGTGCAGCCGTGTCCCTGACCGCGAAGCAGTGTTCCCGACCGTGCAGCCGTGTCCCTGATCGTGCAGCCGTGTCCCTGACCGTGAAGCTGTTTCTCTGACCGTGCGCCGTGTCTGTGACCGCGCACCCGTGTCCCTAACCATGCAGCCGTGTCCCTGACCGTGCGGCTGTGTCCCTGACCGTGCCGCCGTGTCTGACCGTGCCGCCGTGTCCACGATGGTGCAGCCGTGCCCCTGGTCGTGCAGCCGTGTCTCCGAGCGTGCCGCCGTGTTCGCGACCGTGCAGCCGTGTCCCTGACCGTGCCGCCGTGTCTGCGACCGTGCAGCCGTGTCTCTGACCGCGAAGCCGTGTCCCCGACCATGCAGCCGTGTCTCCGACCGTGTCGCCGTGTCCGTGACCGTGCGGCCGTGTCCCTGACTGTGCGGCCGTGTCCCTGACCGTGCGGCCGTGTCCTTGACCGTGCGGCCGTGTCCCCGACCGTGCAGCCGTGTCCCTGACCGTGCGACCGTACCCCTGACCGTGCAGCCGTGTCCATGACCGTGCGGCTGTGTCCCTGACCGTGCAGCCGTGTCCGACCGTGCCGCCGTGTCCACGATGGTGCAGCCGTGCCCCTGACCGTGCAGCCGTGTTCCTGACCGTGCAGCTGTGCCCCTGACCGTGCGAACCGTGTCTCCGACCTTGCTGCCGTGTCCCTGACCGTGCCGCCGTGTCCCCGACCGCGCAGCCGTGTCCCTGATCGTGCAGCCGTGTCCCTGACCGTGAAGCCGTGTCCCCGACCGTGCCGCCGTGTCCCCGACCGTGCAGCCGTGTCTCTGATCGTGCAGCCGTGTCCCTGACCGCGAAGCAGTGTTCCCGACCGTGCAGCCGTGTCCCTGATCGTGCAGCCGTGTCCCTGACCGTGGAGCTGTTTCTCTGACCGTGCGCCGTGTCTGTGACCGCGCACCCGTGTCCCTAACCATGCAGCCGTGTCCCTGACCGTGCGGCTGTGTCCCTGACCGTGCCGCCGTGTCTGACCGTGCCGCCGTGTCCACGATGGTGCAGCCGTGCCCCTGGTCGTGCAGCCGTGTCTCCGAGCGTGCCGCCGTGTTCGCGACCGTGCAGCCGTGTCTCTGACCGTGAAGCCGTGTCCCCGACCGTGCAGCCGTGTCCCTGACCGTGCCGCCGTGTCTGCGACCGTGCAGCCGTGTCTCTGACCGCGAAGCCGTGTCCCTGACCATGCAGCCGTGTCTCCGACCGTGTCGCCGTGTCCGTGACCGTGCGGCCGTGTCCCTGACTGTGCGGCCGTGTCCCTGACCGTGCGGCCGTGTCCTTGACCGTGCGGCCGTGTCCCCGACCGTGCAGCCGTGTCCCTGACCGTGCGACCGTACCCCTGACCGTGCAGCCGTGTCCATGACCGTGCGGCTGTGTCCCTGACCGTGCAGCCGTGTCCGACCGTGCCGCCGTGTCCACGATGGTGCAGCCGTGCCCCTGACCGTGCAGCCGTGTTCCTGACCGTGGGGCCGTGTCCCTGACCGTGGGGCCGTGTCCCTCACCGTGCAGCCGTGTCCCTGATCGCGCAGCCGTGTCCCTGACCGTGCGACCGTGTCCCTCACCGTGCAGCGTGCCCCTGGCCGCGCAGCCGTGTCCCTGACCGTGCGACCGTGTCTCTGACCATGCAGCCGTGCCCCTGGCCGCGCAGCCGTGTCCTTGACCGTGCGACCGTGTCTCTGACCGTGCGGCCGTGTCCCTGGCCATGCGGCCGTGTCCCTGACCGTGCAGCCATGTCCCTGACCGTGCCACGTGTGGCTGCCGGGACAGGTGACCGCCAGCGTGCTGCGTAACCTGTCGTGGCGCGCCGACTCGGCCAGCAAGCAGGCGCTGCGTGAGGCGGGCGCCGTGACTGCGCTGACGCGCGCCGCGCTCGCCACGCGCCGCGAGCCGGCCCTCAAGCCGGTGCTGTCTGCGCTCTGGAACCTCTCTGCCCACTGCGCCCTCAACAAGGTGAGCTGGCGGCCGGCGGCGGCGGGCCGGCAGCTGGCACCCCGGCCGGCCGCGGCCCGCGTTGGGGTGCGGCTGGAGCGGCGGCCGGCCGGCAGCTGGCGCCCCGGCCGGCCGCGACCCGCGGTGGGGTGCGGCTGAACGCCCTGTGCCGGTGCCGGCCACTGCCCTCTGCGGCGGCGTCTGCACGAGATAGGCGAAGATGGAGGGCAGAGAAAACGAGGACTCAATGGCTAGGATGCTTGCAATCACGTAGCGTGATGATGGGCGGCAGGAGCGTGGAACTGGGAAGTTTTGTCTGGTCAAGGACGGCGTGGAAATCATGGTATTGGGAACTCGCAGTAAGTAAGAATGAATCTGATTGAGATGCTTCATCCATGTTGGGAGTGTGGGTCACTTCTCTATGGCCAGATTTTGATGCTCTGTGTTGTGAGGAGGTGTTTCAGTAGGTCTGTTTTGCTGCACTATCTGCTCCTTGTGTGTCTGGTGCAGTCTTCAGAGTCGTATGTCATCATTGCAGGCGGACATTTGTGCTGAGGAGAACGCGCTGTCTTTCATCGTCAAAACGCTCAACTACGAGTCGCCATCCAAAACGCTTGCCATCGTGGAGAACGGTGGCGGCATTCTCAGGAACATCTCTAGTCATATTGCCGTTCGTGAGGACTACAGGTGCGTAGTGCGCAAGTGAATTCTGATACAATTCCAGGTGCTGTGTGTGTGTCAACATTGTTTTTAAATCAAAGTTGGCTTGTGTCGGGAGGGTGTGCGCAGATGTTTGTAATTCCTTGACCAGGCTGCCAAGGCACTACATTTGTGTTATATGTGTGTTTTCAGTTTCTAATGTCTGTGATTTTGAACATTTCACCTGTTGTTGGCTTGCAAAAGAACATTTGGTGCCGACTTTTATTCGCTGAGGCAGCGAAGATTTTTATATAGACCGAATATATAACAATGGTGAAAAGTACCAACTCCTGCGAAATCACATGCTGTGATTGCTTCCACGCTGCGAGCACGCTATCTACGTTGGCATGGTTGCAATGGTCTAAAACAGACCGGACAGTCGGTGCTTGAATTGTGCTGGTGGATGACGGGTCAGGATTGGGGCTTACTTGAGGGCAGTTTGATTGCCTGGGGTGAAGTGGCAGGACCATGTGACACCATGTGTGGGAGTCATCTGAGTGGGTATGGTCTCAATGCTTCGCCTGTATTTACCAACATCTGTTTTTGCGTGCGTCGCTGATGAAAATCTGCAACAGCCGTCACGTAGTTGCTGCTGGCAAGGCCCTTAGAGAGCACCCGCTCTCCACTTTAGCCCGATATTTCTGTTACTCCTCCACCCCTGCACGATTGCCGTTTGGTAGCCAGCTGACCGGCGCTGGCCGTGTGCTCTGTCACCAGGCAGGTGCTGCGTCAGCACGGCTGCATTGCCACCCTGCTGCAGCACCTGAACTCGCCCAGCCTCACCGTGGTCAGCAACGCCTGCGGTACGCTCTGGAACCTGTCGGCGCGCTGCACGCTCGACCAGCGCGCCCTCTGGCGGCTGGGTGCCGTGCCACGGCTGCGTGCGCTCGTGCACAGCCCGCATCAGATGATCGCCAGCGGCAGCGGCGCCGCCCTGCAGAACCTGCTGGCGGCGAGGCCGGACGAGACGGCCGGCTGCCCGCGGCGCGGCGAGCCCGAGCCGGCCGTCGGGCCGCCGCTGGCCGCCAGCCGCGAGTCGGTGCGCAGTGCGCCGTCCGACCCCGGCGGCGAGCGCGGCCGCTGGTCCCACCCGGCCGGCGCCGAGCGGGTCCGGCTGGCCGCCGTGCTGCGCGAGGTGGCGCAGCGGCTGGGCGTGTCCGAGCCGGAGCTGCGCCGCCTGCTGCTGGCGCCTGACGGCGACGGCGGCCGCTGGGCGCGCCGCCACCGCGCCGGCTCGCTGCCGCGCGAGCTGGCTGCTGGGCGGCCCGGCTCGGCGCAGCCGCTCAGCACGTCCTCGCACGAGGACGAGAGCGACCATCTGACGGACTTCAGCGCCCGCTACGCCGAGGGCCGCGAGGAGGACACGGCCGTGTTCAAGAAGCCGGCGCCGCCGCCACCGCCCCCTCCGCCGCCACCGCCCCCTCCGCCGCCGCCGCCACCCCCGCCGCCGCAGCAGCTGTCGCAGTCGCCGTCGGGTCCGCCGGCGTCGGTGCTCATGCCGCCGCCGCCACCACCACCGGCAGCCGGGCCCCACCGGGCGGCGGCGGCATGCCCGGCCGACAGCCGGCCGCTCGACGAGGACATGGTGCACACGTACGCCACCGAGGGCACGCCGCGCCAGGCGGGCACGCCGTACAACTTCAGCTCGGCGCCGTCGCTGCTGGACCTGCGCGAGTCGGCGCCGCCGCTGCCGGCCGAGCGGTGTGCGGCGCGGCCGGCCGCCTCCGCGTCCGCCTCGGCGCTCGAAACGCCGCTCATCTTCTCGCGCTCGAGCTCGGTCGGCTCGCTAAGCAGCCTGGACGGCGCCAACGTCGCCGGCGAGCAGGGCTCCGTGGCCAGCGAGTACAGGTGAGCCACGCTGGTAACGTCGCGTGCCGATCTGTGGTCGACTGACTCCGAGGTCATGCGCTCTTGAAGATGGCGAATTCTGAATTTTATGCGACAGTTTGCTGAATCAAAGAACCATGTTTCGAAAATAAAGGTAGGTGATGACGTGCCTCGCGGCCACGTAAGGTAGCGATAATATCCATGTGGACCCCGGAGACGGCACATGCCGGTCTCCCCGTTCAGGACGCGTTCGCCGCGCTCCGCGCTGCCGCCGGAGAGTGACGGCGGCTGCCGGTGGCCGGCGTCTGACGCCGCCCGGCCGCGGCTGCCGGGAGCCGGCGACTGACGCCGCCCGGCCGCGGCCGCCGGTGGCCGGCGACTGACGCTGCCCGTCCGCGGCTGCCGGTGGCCGGCGACTGACGCCGTCCGGCCGCGGCCGTTCAGCCGACAGGTCAGCGGCGCCGTCTCGCCCAGCGACCTGCCCGACTCGCCCAGCCAGATGCCGGGCACGCCACAGCCGCACCGCAAGCCGGCCAAGCCCGACCCGCGCTCCAAGCCCGCCCAGTCGGCGTCACCCAAAGGTGACGGTCGCACCGCTCACTGCAGCGACCGGTGGGCTCAGGCCTGCCGCGTCAACGGTCGCCGCTGTCACTGCAACAACGGCGGTCAGCTCTGTGCCGTTGTTCCGTTGAGAGATGTGTGCCACGTCCCGTTAACTGAGCGGCCGGATGCTGGCTTCAAATGCGCACATTCATTGACACGTGGCTGGTGTCGCGTGCTGGGGTGAGTTGCTCGCCGAATTGAACGCAGTGTTTTGAAAAGAAGGCGTTGGCCGTGGTTTCTTGAAAAGAAGGCGCTGGCGTTTTTGAAGACGTTATTTGTTTTAAGTGTATCTACCAAAGTACAAATTCACGACAAACAGTAGGTCAGCTCTCTAAAACATTAAAGCTGTGACATGGTAATCAATGACGCGTGTGGCCCGCCGCCAGCCGCTCCCTCGGACGTGTTCGCCGAGGAGCCGCGCCAGTTCCACCAGGAGGGCACGCCGCTCGAGTTCTCGCGCGCCACCAGCCTCAGCTCGCTGACGCTGGACGAGCCGGTGCCGGCGCCGGACGAGCCCCACCAGCGGCCGGGCGAGGAGGCGGCGCGCCGCCGCTCGGCCGACGGCCGCCCGCCCTCCGAGAGCGGCTCGGCCAGCGACGGCGACGACGACGACATGATCTACGCCTGCATCAAGTCGGCCATGCCGAGCCGGTGCGACGCCGCAGACGCGCGCCGACGTGCCGAGGGGGTCGCCAGAGCTGGCACTGTCGGGAGGGTCGTATTGAGGGGGTCGGATTCGGGTGCGGCGCTGTGGGCGCTCGTGGCCGGTGGACACCGCGTGAAGGGGGCTCATCTGAAGACTGCCTCGTATGGAGCTCTGTGGGTACTCATGCCGCGCAAACGCATGCAGTGGGGAGGGGGGGGGGGGGGGGTACGGCCAGCGACGTTCGTTGCTGCCGCCAGGATTCTGTGTTGGGGCACGGTCGTGTTCCTCTTGTTTTGTCGTGAATCCGGCCGCTGCAGTGTTCTGTGTGCAAGTCTGAGCCGTTTGGTCCCGGCTTAGCAGCGAACCATTGCGGCCAGCCCGCCCCGGCCGGTCGGCCTCCACATCCGAATGTGTGAGTGGGTTTGCGCATGCGCGCACGTGGGCGATAGTGTGCGAAGGACGCGCGGCCATCTGGTGGCGCCGCCGCTGTGCGCTGACGGCTGCCTTCGTCGCAGGAGGTCCGCCAGTGGCCGAGTGGGCGGCCGTGCGCCGCCGCCACCGCCGCCGCCGGGCCGCCGCTCCTCCAGCGGCCGGCAGCTGGGCCAGCCCGGCAGGAAGGCCGCCTCCTGCTCAGGCGCCGGCAAGGTCAGCACTCACCGGGGGATGCCGGCCGGCACAGCGCGCCCGGTCGTCAGCCGCTTGTCGCAGTGGTTATATGTGGGCATTGATCCTGGCTACTGTTTCCAGGCCTTGTTGCGTACAGCGGTCCGCAGTGTCTTGGTGCGAGAGTCCGCTGCGCAAGGAGAGGCATGGTATCAGCAATTGTGGACACGGGAAATGTCTTAATGTGGTTTGTAGCTGCTCGCGCGATGGAATTGGAGAGAGCGCAGCTAAAAATCATACTTGGAGGGGAGCGCCTCCCATGGGCATGTGAAAACGCCGCGATCAGATGACTACTGGTTCCGGCTAGTTTAGGTCACTAATCTTTTGCCTGTCGTGTGGCATGGAGTGACATCGATGTACTGACTGGGCCACGGCGGCCATCACTGCGGCTGACACTCCTACTGATGTGTGTGGACCGCGGCCGATGTGGCCGCTCTGTGGCCGGCGCGCTGGCAGCGTCCTGACCGCCGCCGTGCCGTCCAGGGCGTCTCCCGGTCCCCGGGCGGCCCGTCTCGCCTGATCTACGCGCGCGTGTCGCCGCGCGGCCGCGCCGCCGCCGCCGGCGAGACGTCCGACTGGTGGCGCCGCCGGCCGCCGCCGCCGCTCATCGAACGGGACGAGTCCAACTCGGGCAACTCGTCCGCCGACGACAATCACCTGCTCGAGCAGATGATCCAGCAGACCATGAACAAGGTGGGCCGCGAGTGGCGGCCGTCGCGCCCGGCCCGGTCGCGCGGCGCGGCGCCAGGTGTGAGCATGCGCTGAGAGGTGGACCTGCCGGGGGCGGGCAAGAGTGGGCCTGCTGCGTTTACTCGTGCAGGCTGTGTCCTGGTCCCTCGCGACCGCCGTGCCGACAACGTGTCGCGCCTGACGCGCTCATGAACAACTGAGTGTGGACTCGGAATGATTTGATGCTGCTTGTGTCAGATAGTGGGGGGGGGGGGGGGGGGGGGAGGGGGAGAGGTGGCCGATGGTATCTTCGATCAGTGGGTGGGCTGGCCTCACGATCAGTCGCCGGGCCCTCCCTGGCCTGCTGCCGCCCATGCCGCCGGTGCCTCGTGCCGAGTGTGACGCATGCCGGCGGCTGTGTTTGGCAGGAGGGCGGCGGGCCCCGGCCGCCCGGCTCGCCGCCGCGCCGTGTGCGTGCCGCCTGGTCAGGAGCTCACGCACAGACCAGCTGGAGCGTCAAGCAGTACCACAGGTGAGCCACGCGCCTCGTCGGACGCGCGCCGTGTCGCAGTTCGGTGCCGCGTGGGACAAATTCACTGGAAGCGTCGTCGGAGGACCGGGTGGAGCGGTGGTCGCTGACGGCAGCCTGTGGCGCGGCAGGTACTCGGAACGACAGGCGGCGGCGGCCGCCGCGGCCGAGGCCGGGCCCCCGGGCCGTGCTGTCCCGCCGCTGCCGCCGCCGGCCGTCGAGCGGCCGCGCCAGTACGCCGTCGAGGGCACGCCCATCAACTTCTCGACGGCTACCAGCTTGTCGGATCTGACCATGGACGACCTGGGCGAACCGGAGCCGGAGCCGCAGCTGGGCCCCGCACAGGCGGCGCACCGGCCGCCGCCGCCCGAGGTGCCCACCGTGTACGCCACCGAGGGCACGCCCGGCGTCTTCTCGCGGGCCGACAGTCTCAGCGACATCGTGTCTGCCGTCCAGCCGCCCGGTGAGACTCGGCACGGGCCACTCACCTCCAGGGTGTTCCCTCAGCCCGGTGAGACTCGGTGCCGGCCGCTCATCTCCGGGGTGTTCCCTCAGCCCGGTGAGGCTGGGCACGGGCTACTCACCGCCGTGGTGTTCCCTCAGCCCGGTGAGACTCGGCACGGGCCGCTCACCTCCCGGGTCTCCCCTCAGCCCGGTGAGGCTGGGCACAGGCTACTCACCGCCGGGGTCTCCCCTCAGCCCGGTGAGACTCGGCACGGACCGCTCACCGCCGGGGTCTCCCCTCAGCCCGGTGAGACTCGGCACGGACCGCTCACCGCCGGGGTCTCCCCTCAGCCCGGTGAGACTCGGCACGGACCGCTCACCGCCGGGGTCTCCCCTCAGCCCGGTGAGGCTGGGCACAGGCTACTCACCGCCGGGGTCTCCCCTCAGCCCGGTGAGACTCGGCACGGACCGCTCACCGCCGGGGTCTTCCCTCAGCCCGGTGAGGCTGGGCACAGGCTACTCACCGCCGGGGTGTTCCCTCAGCCCGGTGAGACTCGGTGCGGGCCGCTCACCTCCGGGGTGTTCCCTCAACCCGGTGAGACTCGGCATGGGCCGCTCACCTCCGGGGTGTTCCCCCAGCCCGGTGAGGCTGGGCACGGGTTACTCACCGCCGGGGTCTTCCCTCAGCCCGGTGAGACTCGGCATGGGCCGCTCACCTCCGGGGTGTTCCCTCAGCCCGGTGAGGCTGGGCACGGGTTACTCACCGCCGGGGTCTTCCCTCAGCCCGGTGAGACTGGGCACGGGTTACTCACCGCCGGGGTCTTCCCTCAGCCCGGTGAGGCTGGGCACGGGTTACTCACCGCCGGGGTCTTCCCTCAGCCCGGTGAGACTGGGCACGGGTTACTCACCGCCGGGGTCTTCCCTCAGCCCGGTGAGGCTGGGCACGGGTTACTCACCGCCGGGGTCTTCCCTCAGCCCGGTGAGACTGGGCACGGGTTACTCACCGCCGGGGTCTTCCCTCAGCCCGGTGAGGCTGGGCACGGGTTACTCACCGCCGGGGTCTTCCCTCAGCCCGGTGAGACTCGGCATGGGCCGCTCACCTCCGGGATCTCCCCCCAGCCCGGTGAGGCTGGGCACGGGTTACTCACCGCCGGGGTCTTCCCTCAGCCCGGTGAGACTCGGCATGGGCCGCTCACCTCCGGGGTGTTCCCCCAGCCCGGTGAGGCTGGGCACGGGTTACTCACCGCCGGGGTCTTCCCTCAGCCCGGTGAGACTCGGCATGGGCCGCTCACCTCCGGGATCTCCCCCCAGCCCGGTGAGGCTGGGCACGGGTTACTCACCGCCGGGGTCTTCCCTCAGCCCGGTGAGACTCGGCATGGGCCGCTCACCTCCGGGGTGTTCCCTCAGCCCGGTGAGACTCGGCACGGACCGCTCACCGCCGGGGTCTTCCCTCAGCAGCTGCCGCGGGCGACAGCTGCTGAAGGGAGACCCCCGCGTTACGTTCGCGTCACACTCTCCCGGCAGCGGTTGGCAGCGCCCTGCTGTTTGTTTTAAGTGAACTCTGGCGGTACGGTGGCGGCGCGGCGCTGCTGTCAGTCGCAATGCATCCTGAGTCGGCGTCCATGCAGCTACAATCGTCCGACGACGCCTGTACGTTTTGATGACTGGCTGGCTGGCTCGAGCGGACAGCAGTAGCCTGACGATAGCTGCTTGTCTGTTGGTGGCTGGTGGCGTCCGTGCCGGCGGTGATGACTGACCCGAGCCACTCCTGCGTCGCCAGAGGACCGCCCGGCGGCGGCCGACTGGCAGCGGCCGGACGGCGCGGCGCCGGACGCCTCTCCCTCCCGCACCAGCTCCCTCAGCTCGCTCAGCATGCCCTCGAGCGACGGCGACAGCGAGACGGACGACATGCTGCTGGAGCGCTGTATCAGCTCGGCCATGCCCAAGAGTCGCTCGGACGGCGGGCCTGCGGCGCCGGCAGCGGCGCTCGCGGCACCGGCGCCCGGGCCGCCGGCGGCGCGCGCGCCCGGTCGAGCGCCGACCGCCGAGCCGGCCGCGTCGGAGCCGACGCCGTGGGCTCGGGCGCCAGCGGGCGCGGACGGGCGCCAGTGGGGGCGCCGTCGCCGCAGGCCGGCCCCAAGCCGTCGAGCACGACCGAGCGGCCTGAGCACGCCCTGTCCTCGGCGCCGCTCCAGCCGGCCGGCCAGCACACCGACCGCACAGGTGCCGCCCGCTCCATTGGCTTCTAATGGCTTTGGCAGCCCTGCCGCGGCGCTGTCTGACGCGCCGGCCGTCAACGGCTCGCGGGTGCCCCCGGCCGCCGGGCAGGGCGGCTCAGCTGGCGGCCAGCGCTCCTCGCCGCAGTATCGGCCGCCGGCCGCAGCGCCGCCGCAGCCGCTTCAGAACGGCTGCCGATCCAAGCTCTCTGACGACACCCGGGACAGCGGCCCACCGCAGCAGCCGCAGCAGAGCTCTGCCGGTGCGCAGAACGGCGACGGGGGCGTCGTGGAGCGTCGGCCGAGCTCCCCGCACCGGTCGGCTGCCAGCAGAGAACCGGACCGGTCAGCGGCGCCGCGTGAGGCGCCGCCGCTCCGGCCGGCCGACTGCGCGCCGGCTCCGGCCGCCGCACAGCCGGTCGGCGGCAGCGGCCCGTGGCGCTCGGCCAACGCCAGCCCGGCATGGAGCCCGCGGCTGATGGTGCGCCGCTGCAGCTCGGCTGGCCGCGCGGGCATCCAGCTGCCGCCGCCGCCGCCACGACCGCCCGAGTCGGGCCGTGGCGCACCCAAGCCGAGCGTGCCGCCCAAGCCAAGCGTGGTGGCGCCGGCGGCCGGTGGTCCACCGCGCCGGCTGGCGGTCAGCGGCCCACCGCCGCCGCCCAGGGTGGCGCCCAAGCCTCGGCTAGTCGGCGAGCGGCCGGCCGGCGCCACGGACGGCCCGGCGGCGCGGCGCGGCCCTCGGCCGGCGGCGGAGGCGGGCGCCGGCGCCGCGGACGGCCAGACGGACCGGCCGCCGGACCCGGCCGGCGCCGACGGCCGTAAACCGAAGCGGAAGTCTGTCATCATCACGGCTCTGTGAGCGGTGGCGCTCACCACTCTCGCGCCGCTGCTGCTGGGCTCTCGGCGCTGGGCGGCGCCCACCACTCTCGCGCCGGTGCTGCTGGGCCCTCGGCGGTCAGCGTGTCGCCGTCACTGGGTGCTGTGTTCAGGTACTGGTGTGTGACGGTGTGACAGTTTGCCTTCTGCTTGCTTTACTATGTGGACCGCTGCGGGTGGATTAACGACGTCTTCTGTAGCAGTTTTTGGAGGCAGTCTTGAGCATCGCTCCGCTGCGATGGCATCCTCATGTGCATATTTTTTATACCTGCGCCATGGGTGTTTTTTCATGGGTTTGTTCATATCGGCACATGCCGGATATTCTAGGATTGTGGATTCTACGTAACATGGTTGAATGTGATTAAACCTGACTTTGTTAAAACTGTTCTTGTTCGACTGGTTTGCAAAAAGAAATACACCTTTAAACGTCTTGGCACGACGTTCCTGAGGGATTGGAGTGTCCACACCAGAAATGCCGATTGGTTGCGAATCGGGTTGCAATTCCAAATACTCAAAAGTTCAACTGGAAAATTCGACGGACAGGGCAGATGTGGTAGGAATTTTTGGGGTGACTAATATCATTCCGCTGCGTGGCAAATTGGTGTGTATCTCGCCTCATTTAGTGCAGACACACCGTTTCTGTCGTACAAAGGTAAAACCGGGTATGTTGCGTTTTCGCACCGAGTAAAATTTTACAGGAAAGCGGTTTTTCCGTTTTCGCCTCCGGCTACCTTGGTAAGCTCCCGATTATTACGGAACAAATATGAGTGGAATTGTCTGCTGATGGCCGGTTAGGCTATGTGGAATTGAAATATGGCACGCACATGGGTTTCTAAAAAAAAAACTAAATTGGGCTTAGCTAAGTGCGATTCTTCCTGCGATACAATGGCAAAACTCACCATGTTGACTCGGTGTGAAAAACTGCATGCATGTTCATGACAAAACAAGCAAGGATAAAAATCACGATGTTTTTGCAACACGTCAAAAACCGTTCTTTCTACTGTACATTCCTGATGTTCACCTTGGCACGTTCGTAACGATCTTTAAGCATTCTATAGACGTGAAAGATACTTTTGGAAAATACCTCTGATGCAATGCACATTTATTTATGCATGCACTAACGTAATATTCGCGCGCATTTGCACGCACGTGATAACCCAACTGTGATCAACCAGGAGCTATTTGGAGCCCTGCACAGTACAGAGGAAATGTCCAAAAACGCTTGGATGACGAAAATTCGACGTGTTTCAAAGAGGCGAATGTTCTATGAAACGAACTATGAAGCATTCGCTGCCACGCGGTTGCAGACCCTGCCACTTAACGATGTGACGACAAATGAGCCAACTCCGTCAATAAGACAGCCAACCGGATCTACACGATAACACCAGTAGAACGGGAAAGAAATTGACGGTTCATAAAATCAGAGTAGATGACTGGGATGCCACATCATCAGTGAGTTGGCGCTGATTGACTCCAATGACTCCGCTCCATAGCGCTGCGCGATGCCTGTTGATCTGCTGACCTCTTCTTTGAGCTGGTGGGCTGCTGCCTCAAGCTTTCCCAGGGAGCACGTTTGTACTCAGATGGATGGGGAACAAGCGTTTTGCAAATAGCTTCAATCTTGTTCTTCCTCATACCTGCTTCCCTAGTCTTTGGCGTCAGCGGTTCCGTAGCCGAGAAGAAGCATTCGTCAATCTGTAGACAGTCCATATCTTCTGAGTCAGTGTGGTCTTGGTGTTTTTTTTTTGGGGTGGGGGGGGGGGGGAACCACAGCAGAACTGGACCACATTGAAGCTTGCCAAGTGCGGTCGTTCCCCCTCGTTTGGCAGCACGCTCGGGCGTTGTCGGCTGGTGCCATCTTCCACTTGGGCCATATTGACCCCTGGCCTAATCCCGATGACCTTTGTGCCTGTTGCCTCCTGACGCTCCGACGAAGTCGCCGAAGTCGTTTCCCGTCCTTATTCCGCATGCTGTTTTTTTTTTTGACACTGTTCGGTGAACAGCATCAGCGGACTGTATGACCTGTTTAAAGACATTTGAGCGTAATGCGTCTTGTGGTGGTCTTCTCCGAGTGTACAGCTTTCAGAAGGTGCTCAGCGATGCCCGGCACTTATTCTGGCTAGAACAATTGTCCGCCCACATGACGAAGTGGGCTATATCGCGGCACATCGACTTCAAATATAGAACGTATGCCGCTGCCACTTCCTCGGTACTGCGACTAGCAAACGTCTCGTGCCGCAGGACACAGGCCTTTCTATCTTTGCTGCCGTTTCCTGATTGACCGACCTGCCCCTGTTCGATGTCATTATGACACTGAATACTTCCTAGTGTGTCCAAGTGAGCCCTAATTTCAAAAGCCTCCTTAAGCCTTCCTGAGATAAAATGGGTATAACGTTGCCTTTCGTGATATCGGGAGATACCACCAGTTTCTCAGCCGATCATTCCCTGTCTGCATCTTATCAGTATTGTTACTTCGCCTCGCGTGCGTATCCATGTGCCGGTCGTGTGCACATGACTTTCAGGTGGCGCATATGTAAGGAGCATTTTCAGCACTCTTCCCCCGATAGCTGAGTGAATGAGATGTTCATTTAATGTGCAATATTTTGTCATTTCCACAGGAGCACGTCTCTCCCGCTTCCATGAAGTGTTGGTACACAGTGTTCACGGTAACGCCATAATATCAGCACACTCTGTCTGGAGTGTGTTCGTATCGGTAATGATCCTTCATGGTGTTAGAAGTTGAGTAGTGTATTCCCATATCTTGTCCGAGTCGAGTTTGCCTGTGGGCGCTCTGTGTCCGCGTCATCCGCTACGGCACGGTTTTCCCGCTGGTACAGCTGAGACAATGAGCTCGGTGTTGTTTTGGGGGGAATCCGAATGTCCTCGATAGAATCCGAGGCAAGCTTCCAGTGGCTTTGGTCGTCCCCGGGAAACCAGTTCCACAAGAAGGACCTGGGTCGCCTTGGGTCCGCTTTTCCGCGGTGCTCCGGACGACTCACTGCACTGCCTTCGGCTGAATACGCATGTGGTGCCGCTAACGCCTCGTGACTACGTCCAGTTAGCGCACCTGGTCGTTGTTCACCCTGCGCTGTTCGGTCGAAATATGATCGACGCATCCATTCCTGCATCTGTTTGGAGGACGGAAGTACGCGATGCTTCCCGGCGAAGCTGTTGATCCTCTCGTGAGCTGGCCTGGCTCGTTTCGGTGCGCCCTGCCGAGGTGCAGGAGATCTCCTGTGATACGCACGTGCAGGCCCAGTGTGGCTTGCACATCGGAGCTTTCAACACACTGTTTGCTGTTGGTTTATTTCTGTCAAAGACTTCCTGCAATGCCACATCGGTGAGTGATAGCGTCCTGTGACGACATCGGCGAGGGTGGCGTACTGTGGCAGCATCGACGAGGAGGAGGCGTCCCGTGGCAGCACCGGTGAGGAGGATGCGTCTATGGCTGCATCGGTGGGGAGAGGGCGTCTATCGCTGCATCGGTGAGGTGGAGGCGTCTTGAAGCAGTATCAGTGAGCAAGTGCCATGCGGCAGTACCGGTGAGGAGGAGGCGTCCTGTGGCGGTACTGATGTTGAGGCGTGCTGGACCAGTATCAGTGAGGAGATATCCCGTGCCCACGAAAAGGTGCATCGCATCATCACAGAGAAAGAGACGCCATGCGTCCATAGCCAGACGACTCGCGGCACCGCCAACGAGCAAGCACGAGGAGCTTTCTGTGGCATCGCAAACTTTTGAGCCGAGGTTTCGGCCGTCCCAAGG